AAAAAAAAAAAAAAAAAAAAAAAAAACACGAGCATTATTGCATATTAGAAACCGTTACCATTTTGAAGTTTACAGCACAACAAAATAAGAGGTCTGCGACTACGACACGCCTCTTATGAAGGAGTTGATGAATCGTGATTGAAATATGGAAGTGCGACACGTCTATTGTGAATCAAACTTCTCGGCAGATTATTTGGCTTCATTAGCGCGACTAGAGTTTCCGCCAGCCTGGTTGAAGCCATGGCTCAAGCACGATGTTGTTGGAGTGACCTACCCACGTAGGATAACTTCTTAAGCTTCTTTCCCTCCCTCATTCCCTCTGTACCAATAAATAAATAAATAAGAGGCGTGCGACTTTGGATATTTTGAAAGGCCATTTGATGTTATCACATAGGGAAAACATCTTTTTCACCTAAAAAATGATTTATAATTTTTTAGGTGCTACATATCGAAAACACTTCTTTTACACCTTATAGGATTGTGTGAAAACCGATCGCACAATGATCAAATTATATGCATGATTGAACAAAGCTTTGCACAATGACCGTACAATGACCATTTCATATATTGCAGCACATGATGACCGCACAATTAGTCGCATTTGTGCGTCAAAATCGATAATACCTTGTCGGGGTGAAAAAACATAACATTTTCATTGTCGAAAGTGAAAAACTTAATACACTTATATATTTTAAGCTGAAAATAGATATTTTCACTTATCATGTATATCTTCGTTCCTCAACACATTTCTTAGCAAGTGGCTCATTTAGTTCTAACATCACACCAACGAAAAATAACAAGTTTATTTAAAGGGATGGAAGCTATTATATGTGTTCGTGTTGAACTATTGTACTATGTTGTGTTGTGCTTATCGTATTATTATAACCAGATCGACAACAACTTTAAGATTTGTATCATGATTTCGGAGCTTGTATGATGTAAGAAGAATTTTACTCAATAACAACTAATCATACAATTATCAAATTTAACTATCTCAAACCCAAAAATCTAAACAAAATCAAAATTTTTTATACCCGAGCATAGTCATTTAATATATTTTACTAAAAGTCTAAAACAAATACTACTAAAATATTAATTATTGTTTTGCTCAATTCCTCCAATATCATTATTGTCCTTGCTCCATTTAGAGTGCCACGTGGTTGTTTCTAGTAAATTAGGTTACACGTCATATCATCTAACGATCAAAAACTCCAAAGAAAGTAGCAAGGTTAATAATTACCCATTAAAATCCTATTTAATTTGACACAATGTGATAATGTTTCCGTAAAGCACTACATTGATCTCATTAAAGATTTTTTTAAAAAATAAAAATAAAAATAAAAGAAGATACTAGTGAAAAAAATGTCAGTTTTATATCTTCAAGAATCCTATTGAAATTCAAACGCCGTGTTGTAATTTTATTACCACATTTTTTAATTTCTCCCCAAAAGGTTGTACTCTCCTGAATTCAGGGCAGGGCAATTATAGGCCATACGTACAAGCATTATATAGCTTTCGATCATGAAATGGATAGAGGATATAATAATATGGAGAGATGCTACAGTCTCGTTACAGAATCATTCCGTCGAGGTAAATAAGCATTAAATCATTATGTAACCGTCGGTGATAATTGATCTAACGGTTACAAATCCCGAATGAATAGTTTCGTAACATGACAGTAGCATTTTCCAATAATATATCCCATAAAGTAGTAAATTTTGAGAGGGATAAAAAGTTAGTTGAACTAGGTGACATGTCATTTCAATAATTAATATGGAATGTATACAATCATGTGAAGATGCTACGGTCTCGTTGCGGAATCATTACGTCGCGGTTTGTAATCGTTAGATCAAATATCTCTGACGGTTACATGGTGATCTAACGATTACAAACTCCAACGGAATGGTTTCGTAACGGGACCTTAGCATTTCTCATAATTATGTGTAGCTAACTATTAATGTTAAAATAAATTAATATCACTCAATAGACAGGAAAAAAAAATTAATTAACAAAGAAAGCCAATTGCATCAACTAATTAATGATGACACATGAACCATGAGTTTAATTTTGTTCACCCTTTGGACTTGGGAGAATTATCTTCATTCCTCTTTGATTAGTGGACCCCATTTGTACATAAATTCTTCTATTTGTTTGTATGAGATAGGCATATTTTTTAAGTATTTATATATTACTAGTAAAACACCCGTGTATTACACGGGTGCTTGTTAAAAAATTCTTCTTAAATTTTAAAATTAATGAGAAAACTATATTAAATTTAGTTTACTTTTTTACAAAAAAAATATATTACTATATATTTTAGAATGATATGTGTTACTTATGACTTACATGTGTTATATTATATTAATTTTTATAACTTATATCATATAACTACTTGAAATATAAATATATTAGTTGATAAATAATTTTGTTTTTCTAATTAATATTTAAAAAAAATTATTATTGTTATAAAGATAAATATAAATTATTTTTTTATACATACAATATGGATGTTAAATCGAAACTCATCAAAATAAAAATTAATTTGATATATTCCATATGTAAAACTGATAAAAAAATATAAAAATTATTAACTTTTAAAATATATATACAATTCAATAGTTATAAAAAAGAATGATATTAAAATGTAATTAATACATGCAACATGACCATAAATAATCAACATATTTATGTTAATTCGAACCTAATTATTTTTAGTTTGAAATTAAATTGAAATTTATCCAAGCCTAATAACAAATCATGTAATTTTGCCACATAGGATTTCGAAGCACCAGAAGCAGTCACGTATCCTCAGCGCGTTCTGTATATTAATATATTGGGGATAAAATGGGACGTGGTTATATGCACATTCTTTTCCTTTTTTTTTTTTTAAAAAAAAAATATATATATATATAGAAATAATAAATAAATAAATATAAATAAAAGAAAAAAGAGCAAAAGAAAAATATCAAGCGGTCATGTTACATTTCCCCATTAGCGTCAGGCATCAAACAATGGATCGGACGGCGCTCGTGTAGTTAGCCATAATCAGTAAAATCGGGCGGCCGACATGTTTCTAAATCGGGCAGCTTATTCTCTATCCTCTAATCTCGCCCACACAATACCAGGTCCTTCTCGTCCTGGTTCATGGACCAGAGCACACGCGTTGAGCCCAGATTGATCCGGACGCGGGCGTGGGGCTGGGACAGCTGGGTCGACGTCACAGCGGAGTGGGGCACCTCCAGAAGGTTCAATATCCGTACCCCACCGACTGTGGGGCCCGCCCCTACGTGACGTGGTGGGGCCCGCTGCATCTAGAAAGTGTGAGAGAGCGTGGCCTGCAAGCGCTCGGTCCCTGAAAAAGTGAGGCTTTCCAGGTTAAACGCCGTTTTTACAATTCTAGCCTTTAGTATTTTCTTGAAAAAAAAAAAGGTGTTTTATTATTATTATTATTATTATTATTATTATTATTATTATTATTATTATTATTATTATTGTTATTGTTGTTGTTGTTGTTGGTTTTTTTTTTAAAAAAATGTTTTCCTTATCGATTCTATTGACTCGATTGTGAAGTTAGGATTAAATTTTAGAAGTAGAATTTTAAAAGAATTAAATATTATATTATGTATGAATTAAATATGTTGATGTTGATTTGGTAATTGTTTAGAATCGAACTAAACCACTAGAGAATAAAATTTATAAATAAGATATTTAATCTAAATAATATTTGAAGATTCGATTCACGTTTATGTTATTATGTAATTTATTATTCTATAGTTAGTATATGCATATTTATAAATTATAAATTATTCTTAAAAATTATAGTTATTATTAGTCGTATCTCTGTATTATTCTAGTTCCAATTTTAATTATTTTTTAAATAGTCATAGCTAAATTCGACCACAAATACTGAATAAATACTAATATGTTCAAGTATCACCAACAAATCGAATTTCGAACTCATACCTGCTTTCGAATTTTTAACGAATTTGACTTGGCTACTTGAACTCACTTGTGAACTCTGTTCTACTTGACTCGTTGAGGCTTGAATTCATATATATCAATTTAAAACTCGTTATGACTCGAAAATTCATATATATCGATTTCTATTGGCTCGAATCTGGCTCGTTAATAATGATAAACGAGTCGGACTAATTGAGCTTGTTTAGTGATTGACCTGAACGGATGGCATTCTAGAATATAAAAAATAAAATAAAATAAAAATGATCAAGGAACGGATGACATTCTAGAATATAAAAAAAATCCACATATTGATTACGTTGGCAATGACGTAGCTTATTTGTGAAAGCAAACTTGTAAATATGTGAACACTTTAAAAATACTCACAACTTTAAAAATAAAGTGATATTCAAGCGTAACTTTATTATTTAATATTTTTTTGGTCACACATTATCTGCTTAATTCTGCATTTATGACGAGTTCAATCGTAGTGCGGGATTGGATATAAATTAAAATTGATTTTAAATTGATTTATTAGTTAAGTTGAATTAATTTTGATTGAACTTGATTGTATGTAACATAAAAGAAATCGAAATAAAATAAAACTGAACCGAAAGTTTTCTATATTAAATAATTGAAACATACTAAAATGCATGGTTCTGCTCAATATTTTTTGTTTTTTCTACATTTTTTTATGTATTTGTATATACTTTGGTGCACCAAACCAAATAAACTGAACTTGTAAAAGTAAAACAAACTAATAATAATAACTGAACCTGATATAGATAGTAATATAATATATTGACAAATTGTACAGCACTAGGCCAGTTCATTGAAGCCCTCAACTAAACACGTTAGGCCACCCAAGAGCGCTTGGATGAGATGACTTGGGTCTCTTCCAAATTAACCAGTGGTCTCGTGTTCGAGTCCTGGGAATGCAGCAGTGTTAAAAACTCTTGAGGGAGAGCTTTGCCGCCCTTGTGGTCATACCCGACTCGATTCTGGATTAAACGGTTCCCCTGTGATCCGAAAACCGGAAGGTCCCTGTACCAAAAAAAAAAAAGACGTTAGGCCGGATAAATCAGGTTCAAGGAGACATAGTTCGATCGAAAATGACCCAGGAACTAATACTCGACCTAACGGGTAAGGACGATGTGGAATTGAATGAGCTAAACGTGTCATTTGAGCGACCGGGATCTAGCGACCTAAACAAGTCTTGGAACGCAACGCGACCTGGGATCAAGAAGACCTATAGAATGAGCACAACGTGAACACGCCAAGATAAACACAATCATTAAGATCAAGACGAGCCTCATGCACCATATCCAAGCAGCTTGTACTTCTGGGAAACCCTTTCTGGGGCACCTAGACACAATTAGGGGGGAAAATGTATGATTGATCTTCTTCTCCATATGATATATCTTGAATATATTAAATAAAGTTCTTCCATTTTCTCATACTAACTTGGTCGTCGGAGTGCTAACCTTGGGACAACTTCCCAGCCCCTGTTGCAGGTTTTTATTTCAACATTTCAACCGTGAGCAACTACATCTTAGGCGATAAAGTTACCAGACTTAGATTTTTTTTCTAGAAGATCAAGTAAGTTTAAACTGGATTTATTTGATGGAGCACCATCAGAACCACACCGCGAACTGAACCGAATTGCATAGTTCGACTTGATTTTTCGATTTTGGCTCATAAGTTAACCCCTGAAAATATGTATGCATTTTTTTTATTATTATTTAATTCTAGATTATGTTGGAAAAATCAGTTATAAAATATGGGTTTGACTCGATTTTGACTGAATTTTTTATGGCTAAATATTTAATTTTAGTTGAATTAAATATTGTAGAAAAATTCTACGTTCCGAGTAGATACTCGTGGTATATTTATTTTCTCAAAACTGATTTTCGGTGAGTGAGAAATAAATTGTTAAAGTTAGCCATAAAAGAGCACGTAAAACGTTGGTGGTGGGATTTGAAGGGTCAAGAGTTAATCCCACATTGGACTCTTAAATGAGTTTAACTCTCTTTATTATAATAAAGAGAGTTGGAGAGGTTACAACAAGCACAAAGTTATGCACCAAGTGTTGGTGTTGTTTTCGGCCACACGCGCGCACGCGCGCCCGCCGGCCGGCTCGGGCACGGGACCCGGGACCTGGGACCTGGGCTTTGGGCTTTGGTTCTTGGCAATTGGACTTTGGGCTGGACTTGGGCGGTCTTGGGCGGTTGGGCTTGGGGCCTAAATTTATTTGCAACTTTAGGCCCAAAATGACAAATCCAATTCTAGTTGAATTTGGACTCGGTTTTGACCCAACCCGAGTGAAACCTCTCCAGGTACAATGAACATAGACATGTGACTCTTCATGTGGAATGTGACTGTTCAGGTGGATGTTAATGGCTGGTTAATGGCCTTAACACCTGGTTAATGGTGTAGTAACACCTGAAACGTTTTTGATGTTAATGGTGCCATTTATCTCAGCCTTAAGTGGCTGTTGTGACTCCTAGTTATCCCTCAGAGGTGGGAGTCCTATAAATAGGACTTTTAAGACTTAGAGCTGCAAGTGAGGGACACACATCATTTTCATGCAACATGATACTCTCAAAAGCCTCACGCATCATATCATAGTTCTCGGTTCTCGACTTCATTCTTGTTCGACTGGACTCTGAAGGCTGGTGTGCTACAGCTTCCGAGTGTTAAAGCCGTTGTATCTTTGGGGACATTACGCACTGACCCGTCAGCACTACACGGGGCGTATTTGTTTTGCGGATAGATTTCAATCGCCTCGGCTCAAATCTCTCCGCGTTCGAGTTGTAATTTCATTTTTCGTTTTAGTTCTTTTGTACGAATTGAACACTTCAGTCAGTTCATAGGTTCCCGTTGTAATTCAGAACACACTTGGTGTAACAGATTATTCAAGATAATTAAATTGTGAGTCCAATAAAGGTGGAGAAAAAAAAAAAAAATCACACAACTCTTATCACTTCTCATGCCAATAAACACTCTCACTATAAGTCCCACACCATATGGACCATATTTGCTAGCCATTAACATAAAACTTAAAAGTGGTCCATATCAAAACTTTCATGTGCATCATAATTAATTTATCTTGTTTATTATTATTATTAAAAATAATAATGATGAAAAAAAATAATAAAACATCCCCAACATTTTGGTAAACCCTCCATCACCATCAAAATCCTCCTCTCAAGTCTATATAAACAACCAACCTTTCTCATAATCTCTCAACAAGTCCAAAAACCACATACACACACAAAAATAAACAAACTCCCCACCCTAAAATCCTATACCCCAACAACAAACTAAAGAGCATACATCTCATAAAAATGTCTATAATCATATTCCCCACAACCTTCATCTACATTCTCCTCTTTCTCACCACACTTATTTACTACGTAATATCGAGAAACTCTAACCGAAAACACAAACGGGCCGCGAAACTCCCACCGGGCTCCATGGGATGGCCTTACCTCGGCGAAACTCTTCAACTATACCGTAATGACCCAAACATCTTCTTCTCCGAAAAACTACAAAGGTAATTCAATTCCCATCAACTTTATCTTCATATCATCCATCAAAAAATAATATATATTTTTCTTCGCTGAAACTAGTCCTCGAACTCTTCTCTTAACCTTTTTTTTCTTCCTTTCTTTCATTTTCTCATGTAGATATGGAGAGATATTCAAGACACGCATCCTCGGTTGCCCGTGCGTGATGCTGGCGAGCCCCGAGGCAGCCAAATTCGTGCTTGTGAATAATGCGGGCATGTTCAGGCCCACATATCCAAGGAGCAAGGAGAGGATGATAGGCCCATGGGCCCTATTTTTCCACCAAGGGGACTACCATAGCTTCGTGAGGAAGCTCGTGCAAAGTCCGTTATCGCCCGAGGCCATCAAGAGGCTTATTCCAGAGATAGAAGCCATAGCTGATTTTGTTATGGAGTCTTTGACATGTGGCAAAATTGTTAACACTTTCCAAGGAATGAAAAGGGTATGTGATCATATAGTTTGAAATTCAAACTACTTAAAGATTTTGAAGGGAAAAAAATGGAAATGTTGCAAAAATGGTCATGCAAAATATGTGTGATACACTTATAATTTGACTGGTTATGGGTCCTCCCAACCTTTTTTATTTTTGGAAGTTATAAGTAGTTAACATCATCATTAACAGTTATTAGTTTAATAATTGGGCCCAACAAATCTTAATTTATCTTTTATTGGCCCACTTGTACTCATGATGTGTAATATGTTCTATAGTTCTCATTTGAAGTTGGGATTTTGGCAATATTTGGGAACTTAGAGAAAGAACAAAAGGAAAAGCTAAAAGAA